AGATGTCCCGGTCGATCAGCAGAATCACCTACATGCTGCTGAAAAGCAGACGTTGAACACTGGCTTACTACGAAATGAATCGCGAACTGACTTCCGTTTTCAGTGAATCCACCAGTTTCTCCTTTGCTTGCAAAATTTTCTGCGCTTTCTCCTTGTATTGATCGAACTCTTTCTTGTTTTCGCTGAGGTTGAATTTGGCAAGACGAAGCTGAGAAAGTTTGAAATTTTGGAAAATTAGTATTGGTGCGAAAATGAACAAAAAGTTGCTGAATGCCAAAGAATTTTTACCTGCTCTCCCATCGCACGAACTTCCTCTTCATGTGCCATACACTTTCGTTTCAATTGTGTGCATTCATCCTGTAAGACATCCCGCTGTTCTTGAGCCTTCCTCCTGGAAAAAGACGATTTGGTATTCGATTCAAAAAATCGAAAAACCAAATTATCACATACCTAGCAATTTTCAACTCCTCCACGCTATCTGCATTGGCTTGTTGAGCTAGTCGCTGCTCCACAAGTTCTTTTTCTGCCTTCAACTCAAACAGTTCGTCGCTTCGCTTAGCCAGCTTTCGTTCAAGGTCCTAAACTTCTATTTTGTGAAAATCCTTCGATAAAAAAGGAGTATTCACCGAGATCTTCGTTCGCATTGCAGAGATTTGTGTCTCCTTAGCCCATAACTGTGATTTCATCTGCGAAATATCTGGAGGTTGCTCTGGAATGGTAAAAATAGTTGAAGAAATTCAAACATTGTCTGTTCACTCACCAGAGGTCACACTTTGCGTGGTTTGAACGGACATCACACTCCGACCACCACTCGACCTTCTGCTTCGTGTGTCCTCCACATCATGGACAGCGTTTTCGTTGAGCATTGCTATGAGCTCATCGTCGCGGCGTTCACGTTCCGACACAATCGAAGTAGAGGGAACAAAGCTGAATGAACCGTTTCAGTAAGGAAAAAAGACATAAAGCTGTTGCTTGGTAAGCCACGATTAAGGAAACAAATAAGCGTACTAGCACTGAAAAGCACCTTTCATTGATCTTTCTTCTATTAGATGCCGCTCCACCAGCGAATTCTGAATGTGTTCGGGATGGCAATGATGGACCGCTACGCCCTAGCTCCTCTGTGTGTACTTCAGATTCATGTTCCTGAAGTGTCTGAAGTTGAGATTTAAATTGCATATTCACATAATAATGGTCATTTTCTATGATCTAGTACCTTACTCTTCATTTCCATGAAGGTGAGAAAATATTAGCCTCGAAAAGCTGTGAAATGGGAACGATATTCAGGAAATTCAACCTTTTGATATCGGAAGA